GCTAAAGTTATCAGAGTGCATTGTCGGAGGGGACAGAAGAAGGCTGAAGGGGTTTGTAGAAACAGAGTGTGTACATATATAGCTGTTATGAGTTAATTAAAGAGACTAAAGTTAATGTAAGTGTCCAGTGTCCTTCTAAATGTGTGCATTATAAATATCATATATTGTCAGAAATAAAATTGAACATATGAGAAGACTAAGAACATGGATTGGCTCAAGCCCCCAGGAATGTTAGTGTTTGTAGGAAATGCAGCAGAGAACTGGACAAAATGGAGGTATTTGAACTGTATTACATCGTAAGTGGATCTAGACAAGAATAATGAAAGGTTGGAAACTGCTTTGTTTTTCAATGTGGCAGGTCAGGAAGCAATAGAGGTGTTTAACACTCTTCAGTTTCAGAATTCAGCAGGGAAAGAAAATGCAGGTCTTCATGAGTATGCTTGAGGCACATTGTGCACCAAGGGAAAATGGGACATGGGAGATGCCTATGTTTTTCACCGCAAGCCAGGCAAATGGGGAAAATACAGAGTAATGTACAACAGGGTTAAAACCGGCAGCACAGACTTGTGAATTTTGGGCACTGTGTAACTTCCTCAGTAAGAGTTGCATTGCATGAAGTATTCTTACAGATTCACTGTGGGCAGAATTGTTATGGGAGACTGGAAAGGACTGTAGACATATGTGAAGCAAAGGAAATGATGAAATGATGGCAAAACAACTGAAAGGACTGGGTGAAGCAGAAAAAGCATGTGCATAGGTTGCTATACAAACCTGCATTTAATAAAAAATCAGAAATAAAGCCATGGACTGGAAGATGTCCTAATAAAGGCCTGAAATCAAAAGAAACGAAAAAAAGAGCAATCAGAGATTGAAAGCTGTTGCTGGGATTGGTCGGAGGGTTTGCTCATCTGTAAGGCTGGGCAGGAGGGTGGTGGTCAAGCTTTGAGAAGCCGGAGTTCTTGGGTCTTGGGGGGTTCTTTGTGGGATCCTAACTGAGGGTTGTTTGTGTGTTGTAAGCTGCTCTGGATAGGGCGGGATAGACATCAGAATAATAAATAAATACATTTAAAATGTGCCTACACCAATGCAGTACTTACATATAAGTAAGAATGTAATTGCTGTGGCAAAGACCATCATTTCACCAAAATGTGCAAATCCACAAAGCCGCAGACTAAAAAAATCACCCTTAAAGAAACAGATGAAGAAGATTGATTTCTAGATGTGCTGAGAATTCAGCCCAGTCAGGAGGAGTGGAAAGTGGATCTGCTCAGTACGGACTACAAAATAGCAAGTTTTAAAATTGGTAAGAACATAAAAAGTGCCCTACTGAGTCAGACCAATGTTTTTGCCCAGCCTCCTGCCTCCAATAGTGGCAGAAATGGATGCCATAAAGGAGAACATTGAACTGGATATCTCTAGAGTGATTTATCCCTTGCATCCACCATTTACTGGCTTAGAGATGTCAGAGGAAACATCTCTAAACATTGTGTTCAATAGCCATTTATCTATCATCCATGAATTTATCCCATCCCGTTTTGAACCTGGCTCTGCTATCTGCCTTAGCCACCTCTTGTGACAATGATTTCCAAAAGTTCACTACATGTTGCATAAAAAAGTACTTTGTCTTGTGAATTTTAAATCTGTCACCTACTAATTTCAGCAGGTGCCCCTAGTGCTAGCATTCTGGGATTTGGTGAATACCAGTTCCCTATTCACTTGGTTCATACCCTTCAAGATTTTACAGACCTCTACCATATCCCCACCCAGCTTTGTCCTTTCCAAACTGCACAATTCCAGCCTTTTTTGTCTTCCCAGGTCTGGCAACTCCTTTATGCCCCTGATCATTTTGGCTGCCCTTGGAGCTGCTGGCCCCGGCTCCCACACCCCCTGTCCGGTCCTCCCCCCGGCTTTGGAATCATCGTGGCACTCCCCCTGCTTGGAGCACTCTGATTGGCTGTTTCCGTCAGCCAATCAGAGCGTGAAATAAAGTGTTATGGACAGACAGACAGAGTAGGCTTTTATAATATTAGACTGTCTTTTGGAAGTTGAGTCCTATGGCCCCCTTCATTTTGACAAAAATGAACTAGTTTGTGGCAAGTTTCATCCTGTCATTGATCATTTGTAATTTGCTCAAGTCTAGTAGGAGATGCTGGCAATTCTGTCAGCCCATGGCTGATATCTTTTCCCAATATTTTTTTCTAAAGTTATTTCTTGTTCTGGTGGTGGCTGAAGAAGTTGTGACATGTTTTCCTCTTTATTCCAATTTTCTCCTTGAATTGGCCACACATTTCTAAGACAGTATTACTTGGCCCTCTGAGACTTTTACCTTGGTGTCAGGAAGGATCATAATCTTTTGCAGGGATGGCAGCAACTGCAGCTCAAGTGTCTAGTTTGAACTTATGGGTGTAGGTTGTAGCTGTTTTGGTCTAAAGACACAGGCAGACAAGGTTTTTTGGGTAAATCTGGTATCTTTTATTAGACCAACTCAAATAGTTGGAAAAATTCTTTTTTTTTGCAAGCTTTTGGGTACAAACATTCTTCTTCAGGCAGAGGAAGCATCTTGGCTGCGTGAAGGATGCTTCCTCTGCCTGAAGAAGGGTGTTTGTACCCAAAAGCTTGCAAAAAAGAATTTTTCCAACTATTTTAGTTGGTCTAATAAAAGATATCAGATTTACCCAAAGAACCTGTTTTGAACTTAATAATTTGACCAAGTTGTTGATTCTTTTATTGAGACTATAGTTTTTACTAGCATAGGCCCATTGTCGTCTGATGCTGCTTCCCACTCCTGAATATAGTTCAGAGGTAGTCAACTAAATGTGCAGTAGACATGCCTAGTGAGGGGGAAGGCACACAGGACATCATCTGCAGCCTGTCCCATGGCAAAGGTGAGACCATTTCCTTGGTATTCCTATGTTCTTTCTGCTAAGCCTGAAACCAGATTTGCTCAACCCTTTGGATCCGGCAAGGCCAGCTGCCGGC